TATAATCACAATTGACAAAATTATTAAATTTTTTTTCTTTGGAGATAAATTAAATTTAAATTTGAACAAAGGAATGACTCCTTAGGTCTTTTATAAGTATATTTCATTTTGATCAAAGGGCGTCCAAAGGTTTAAACCATCCTCCCACAGACACTGAAAATTTTTTTCCTTTTGATTTAAATTAAATTTAAATTTGAACAAGGAATGACTCCTATCCAAAATATAGAAGGAGAAAACCAGAAGATGGAGGTCACATCGGCAAGATCAAAATGAGACAATATGGACATCAAGTTGAGCAAGAAATCACCAATCAGTGGGTAGTACTTTACAATACATATTTGTTGTGACAATTCAATGTGTTATATCAATGTCGAAATTTGCTCATCAATTCATTCAATCAAGTATTGCATCAAATACATATCAAAGGGTTCAATCAAAATTTTTTGAAATCCCCAAACTTTTTTTTTTCCATTATTTAAATATTAAATTTGAACAAGGGAATGACTCCTATTCAAAAATAGAAGGAGAAAAGCAGAAGATGGAGGTCACATTGAAAGATCATTGAGTAATGTTGAAATGCATCTTGAAAATTTTTCTCATCAAAAATCTATATATATATATATATATATATATATATATATTATATATATAATTTGATTGAACACATAGAAAAAAAAAACAGATTTGACATCATTATATATACCTTGAAGGATTCATTTTTTAACCAACATTTTTCAAAATTTGGACGTTGGCACAATTAAACTAAACTACAGACACAATTACAAAAATAGAGAGCAAGGGGAAAATTTGAACAATTCAAAACAAATTTTAATTGTTTAATAATTGATGATTTAAAAAAAAGATATTAAAAGGTTTAAAAGACCATAAAATAGAAAAAAAAGTTTCTTCTCCTCCAAACAAACACAAGAATCGGATGAAATGATTCTTTTGTTTTCATACATAGATTGGGCTATATAATTTGGTGTATATTTGAGAAAATTCAAAATTACATATAGATATTATATAAAAACAGAAAAAAAAATGTAATTCATATTTGGATGACTGGGTTTGTTAAATAAGTGTTGTCCAATGGACAAGTTGTGCACAGATTGGGTGGTCCTTAATGAACGATTTACTACTGGATTGTAAATAGGCAGGTACATTTGTATATGTAGAGGCTCCCAATTTTTTTGGTCGGTCCTATATACCGCATCAAACCGGCATTTATATTTTGTATAATAAACATTTTTTGAAAATAGGATAACTGATATTTATTAAAGGATGGAAACACAATTTCATGGCCTGCCGATTGCGTCTAGCATGAAACAGCTTGTCGCCTTGTAACTGTTGATATATATATATATTTTATATATATTTTAGTTTATGAAAACTAGGTAATTGTCCAGAGAGCTCAATGTAAATCCAGAGCATATAAAAATTTTTTTTTGTTGGCTATTGAAATATATATATATATAAAACCCAAAAAAATATATGTATTATATATATATATATATATATATATATGTATATATATATATAAAAATTATGTGTATACAGTTTTTTAAATTTCTATATATGTAAATTGTATATATATATGATGGATACATGTATGTTGTTCCATAGATATGGGATGGCTCTGTTTATATGTATAATATAAGAATATATATGGTAGTTCATATATTAATAAGTATATATAATAATGTATTATTAAGTATGGATTTTGAAAATTTGTTTTCTGTATGTATATATATGTATATATTTGTGTATGTGTGTGTGTATGTGTATATGTATGTGTGTGTATATGTGTGTATATGTAAATATATATGTTTATATAGTATGTGTATATAGATAAGCTGTTGTAGTGGGTTTTATATGTGTGTGTATATCTATAATATGTATGTAATATGTGTGGTGTATATCTACATAATGTGTGTATGTATGAATATATTATATGTGGATATTTTATTATATGTGTGTGTGTATGTGTATGGATAGGTGTTATGTGTGTATGTGTATATTTATGGATATATAGAATTTTATAAAGAAGGACTTTTAACAATGTTTTATCTCATTTTCTCTTCTAATATTCTCCAATTGGAAGTGTGAGTTTTGAAATTCTTTTAAATATGGATTCAAATTTTAAATTGATAATTTAATTTAAATTGAAATATATTAAAAATAATCATTATTGATGATAAAATATTTAAATTGGAAAAATTTTTATTTAGGTAGGTGTTAATACATGAAATTACCTCCTCTACCCCTTCGAAATATATAACTTCCGTTAAGTTAACCATTTAAATTTGTCAATGTCTAGACCTCCTCAAAAATTTAAGTATAAAAGAATAGAAATTTTAAATTACATCTAACTCACTCATGTCTTCTCTCAATTCCTCACTTCCTCACATTGTTAATTTACATAAAAACAATACGCCCATCAAAATGTATTTCATTTTTTGTTTCAACCTTTGAAGAAGTAAAGTATGATCCATAGTCCTTTAAAAGGGCTTTAAAAATAATTTATTACATGGAACCCAAAGTGGTCTGTTTTTATTTAAAATATATATATATATATATATATATATATATATATATATATATATATATATAATATTTACTATTTGTTTAAGGTGAAACCTAAATTTTAGTATTTATTCTAGTTTATCACTTTTTAAAATCTTAGTCTTTCTACTTGTTTGGGGTTTTTTGGACCAAGGACTAAAATTATGATTTGTTTTGTTTTGTTCTGATGTTTTAGTTCTTTTCTTTTTATTTCCAATTTTTTTCTCAGGTACCAATTTGTACTTGATGAGCTATCAAAAGTTTTCCAAATGAGTACTTTGTTAATATATTTTTAAATATTTTTAGATTTCCTTTATTTGTAGATAAATATATATATATATATATTATATATATATATATATATATATATATATATATATATATATATATGTTGGGGAAAAATATATATATGTATATGTTTATATTGTGTGTGTGTACATATATATATATATATATATATATTATATATATATATATATATATATATATATATATATATGTATATATAAAAACATGTGGGTAATATATTTATATATATATGTTGTATATATATATATTTTTAAATATATATATATGTGTAAGAAATATTCTATATATATAAATGTGTTATATATATATGTATATATATGTATATATTGGATAAATATAAATATTCAATTATAAATTGCCTTGTAAAATTTGTTTATTATGTTTGATCCTGAGCTATTTAAAACAGTTATAATGGCTTTAGCTGGGGAGAAAATTTTCTTTTCACTGAAAATTGTTTTATTTGGATATTTTTTTCATTTAAATGATTTTTCTAAGCTTTTTTTTCACATCTGTTGTTTTTAGATCAGCTTTTAACATAATTCATTCCTCATTTTTTATTTTAAACAAAATCATATTTCCATAAAATAGGTTTAATTTAATTTGCTAAATATACATTCTAAATCCCTCCCTTTATTTCTTCAAATAATGAAAAAATAACTAAAAATTTTTAATAAAAAATGACAAAAATAATTTAAAAATTTATTCATATTAATTATAAATTTTTTTTTAAAATTTCCCCAATTTTTTTCTTTATTAAACTAAACTTATATCCTTTTTTTCTTTATATTTTAAAATTTTTTTTAAAATGCCCTTTTTTTTCCTCATTAAATTTTTTTTTAATATTTAAATACTTATATAACCCCATATTAATTTTATTAAATTAAAATTATTTAAATGAAAAATCTCTTCCTTTTTTAAAAAATATTTTAACCTATTAAAAATGCAAATCATCTGATTATTTATATTTAAATATGATAAATTCTGTTTTATTTTTCTACTGCGTTTTTTTTTTTTTTTTTTATTTTTTTTTCAGATGTAAATATTAAATTTTTTTTCATATAAACTTTTTCACACTTAATTTTTAAAATTTTTTGAGATCTTTGAAAAAAAAATATTCATTTTTGTATATTTTTTTTGTTTATTAATTTTTATGTGTTTATATATATATATATATATATATATATATATATATATATAAAACCTTATTTTGTTATAAAAAAACTTTTTTTTTTATTTAAAGTTATTTAATTCTTTTAAATCAAAAATTTTTTTATGTTTTTATGAATTTTGTTTATATATTTTATATATATATATATATATATATTCATATATAATATATATATATATATATTATATATAAATAAAAAACCATATTTTAATTTTTTTTTTTTTTATTATATGTAAATGATTAATATTTTTTATATATAAATGAAAAAAATTCAAATGATTGCCCTTATTAATATCTGATTAAATATTAACATTTTTGTGACAATCCCTTCTTGGTTCAGTTGATAACTTTTCAGCATCTCTTCAACCCATTATATATATAATAATATATATTATTATATTCATGTAGAAAACTAAGAAAAATCTAAGCAGTAAGAAGCTAAACCAGCATTTAACTTTATTTTTTAGCAAATGGATTTTTGTGGGAAGAAAAACAACAATAGAAAAAATGATTTATTTATAAATAAATTCGGTTACTTTAACGAATCTACAATCTACAGATATATACCTTCTGGATTGTTCAGTTTATAACAAATTTTATTCCATTTTATAATTTTTATCTTGTTACATAAAAGTTTAAACTTTCGAAAAGCGAAATGAAGGGAGATAACTCTTATACAATTTTCGTGCTCTTCTTTTGTCTAAGGTGAAAAAGATTTTCGTAATCAACAGTTTGTTTGTTGTTTTAAATGCTTTTTTCGTCTTCGTTGTTCTTGTAAGTTACGTATTACCCTAGTTTTTGTCCATTAAGTTATATTATATTTAAGGAGGTCCGCGTAGTAAAAAAAAAAAATGATATTCAGAAATCCCTTATGTCGTCGTTCTTTGTAATTTTGTCTGCATTGATGTTATGTAGTTTTTAGAGAGTATTATTATTACACAAATACGCTACTGACAGAAATATGTCTTTACCTAAAAACATGCAGGTAAGTTTGAATTAATTTTTTCGATATAATACATAATAAGCAATTGAGAAGAATTTTATTCTACGAAAATTGAAGACAAAGACAAGACATACATTTTGATTGTCCGAGGGAGGTGCCCTCTTGTAGTCATAGTGTTAATGAAAAAAAAGAAACAAAATTATTATTTAAAGATCCTCTGAATAGGATAGAGCTCGTGTATTTTTACTTTCTTTTTTTTTTGTTCAGTTATTATTTTTAAAACTTAAATGAAGAATCGAGCTAAAAAAGATGATACCTCCACACACAACACGACATCATTCACTCTATTTTTTTAAAGGAAGCATTCATTGTCAATTAGGTTTTTGACGAGCTTATTTTTTTATTTCTAATTTGTTGTGGTACTTAAAAATCGTGGAATGACGATCGGGAATTTGCGACATAAAAAAATTAAATTAAAATTAATTTTCTATCAGATCGTCATTTCTACGATCGTTAATCACCAGAAATCGTAAATAAATAAATAACAACAACAGATGAATAAGTTAACAATAAGATAAGAATCAATTTATCTCGGTCGTCTTTTATTATTACAAGAAGAACAAGGGAGTGTTGAAAAGTTCTTGGTCCGATCCACTTTTCAAAATCTAACCAAAATGATAAAACAACAGATTTTATTTTCTGTTTTATTTTGAATTCCTTTTTTTTTTTTTTTTAGTCCAACCTAGAACTTTTCAGTAATTAATTTTTAGAGATATAAATTAAAAAAAAAAAATGTATATTTTGCTAAAAAAAAGTGGGAAGGATGTATTGTTTACGTACCCAAGTTTTTCAAAAGTCGTCTAGTAAACAAAATAAAGCTTGCTTACTCCTTTTTTATTTCAAACGAAGCCATGCAAATTTTGACTTGTTGATTCCCCCCCCCCCCGCAAAAGTCAAAAACACTCACTTCCGTTTTTCCACGAAGGCATTTTAATTCAACACAAAGTACTAGGGACCTACGGACAAAAAGATAGGGATAAAAATTATTATTCCCTCGGTACGCTGCATACATACTCTCTATCCCAACCACTCTTAGTGCAACGGTGAAGTGCAGCTTAGAGGGACGATTCCCTCGATTTACTTTTGGAGGGTGGAATGGTTACAGAAAATCCTGGGCCAACTAAGTATACGCGGTGGAACAATACATAGAAGGCCGTTTTTAAAAATGCGAGAGTCCCACATGTACATGGGACTAGATAAAAATGACATCGCTCTCCTCAGCACTTCAGAATTGAAACGCCTCACACGCCTCAGAGATTAACCATGACCCTCCCACTCTTAATAAACTGAGAGAAGTGCTACCTTGGGGACAGCCCCCTGGAACTGAGATTCTGATTGGTTTAGGTAAGTAAAGTTAAAGTAGGTATTTATCCACAGGACCAATATTGTACAAGCTCTGTAGATATCTCCACTTTAAGGAGGTTTCAGCTTATTTTATGGTCTATACTCAGATGGCTTGCATGGGTACCCCTACAAAAAAAGAAAGTGATAACTAAGGTTTAAATATAAAATGCATTTTAAAAAATGAAAAATGTTTTTGAAGCTTTTAATTCCAAACTAATAGTAAATTCTCTCCATTAATCATCTGAAAGACCACTTGCTGCCTTCCATCACTATGGCTGATGCTATCCTCCAGGAAAGTGACTTGTTGCACCTTCTCAGCCTAATGTTCTCAGCTGACATGAAGTAGAAAAATTATATTGAATCCATTACTAGGTCAGCTGCTAAGAAAATCTGTTCTTTGTGTTGTGTGAGACAATTTTTCTCTCTAGAATCTATCTTATATATCTATAAGTTTACCATTCACTTATGCTTAGAATATTGCTGCTTGAGTTCCTTGATAAAATCCAAAGAAGAATAAGCAATATTATTGGTCCTGATCTGGCAGCTTGACTTCAGTTTCTTTTTCATTTCCATAAAGTTGCCTCTCTGTGCCTTTCTTTATAAATACTTTCATAGTAATTGTTTGTATAAGCTCTATGATGGTACCTACACTTTATGAATTTAAATAGTACTAGACTGGTTCCAAAAATTTTTTCAATTTACAGTTGAGCTGGCTAGATGTAAAAAATATCTATGCTTTTGCAGTTTCTTTTCTCCCCAATTCTCAATAATTGATTTGGGATTTAACAAAAGAGACCTATGCTTTTCAGCCAATTTTAATTTGCAAATTTTAAATGCAATTTCAACCAAACTATCTTTCCTCTTGATTACTTTTTTTTTTTTTTTAAAATGATTTTGTTCCTAATTCTTCCAAAACCTGCAACTTTATGTGTTTTAGTGGCTTTACTGCCTTTGCATGAGATGATACCAATTTTAAAAAAAACAAAAAAAAAAATAGGTTTTTTTTTTTTTTAAAAAGCAAGGTTCAAAATGAATTTAAATCAAATAAAAAAAATGTCAGAAATTACACTATGACATTATTTAATTAGAAAAAAATTAATTGCTTTTATAAAAATAAGATATATTAAGGACACTATTGTTTTAAGAAAAATATTTTTTAATGAATTTTATTTTTTTTTTCAATTGTTTTTTTTTTTTTTTTTTTTATTAGAATAATTTAAGTTTTAAATATTTTTAAAATTCTGTATTAATTACAAAATTTTTTTTTAGATGATATTATTATTAAGTAAAACTATATTTACTAATCATAAATGGAAAAAAGCTTAATACAAATCATCAAACACCAATATTTTTTAAAGAATTTTGAATTTTTTTTTTTGTGTATAAAAATGTGCCAATTTTTTGTAGGTATGGGTGCTCATACCTGACATTATCAGAAAGTAAGAGTGATAACTATAGTAAATTTTTAGCCAAAATTTCAAAAATTCAATAAAACATTAGATTATGGTGAATATTTTCCTAAATTTAATAGACTACTGACTACTTAAAATTGTATAAAAAAAAATTCATGTTATATTCAGTTATTTTTTTATGGCTAAAGATCCCAAAGAACAACATTAGATAAACAATTATCTGTCATCAAGCTGTCAAACATGTCAACAGCTTAAATAATATTTTAAACTTAAAAATAAATAATAGTGGATTCAATTTCAATTAATTATATTTTAAATCAGCTAATATTCTTCAATTAAAGTTTCAGAAAAGTATATTTTATTTTTGGAAGATTTTTTTAATAAAGAGAATTACATTGTGATGAAAGACCACTCAAAAAGGGCATGAATCAGCTATTTTAGAAAAAAAAAAAAAAAAATCTCCTTCCAGTTAATTTAAAAACGTTTTTGAAATACAGCAAAATATTTTGCTTATTGGAAATATTAAATTTAATCTATTAGCTTGAAATTAAAACTAAAATAAAACCTTCAAGAAAGAGTTCTCATTTTTTAAAATTCATTTTAAACCTTAGATATCATGAGTTCTTTGATGTTACCTAGATTAATTTTAATATTTCCAATAAGTAAAATAATTTGCTGTATGTGTATTTCAAACCGAATTTAAATTGATTGGAGTATTTTTTTTCCTGATTATCAATAAAATAGATAAAATCGTCCATATTGATAAATCTATCAATACAACATTATGTTTTTAAAAAAAAAATCTTTAAAAAATAGAATATACTTTTCTGAAATGTTACTTGAGAAAATAAGCTATTTTAAAGTTTAATTAATCTGAATAGAAACAAATTTTACTTTTAGTTTAAAATATAGAAAAGCATTTTTTGACATGAAGGTAGGTGTTTTTATTGTGGCCAGTAATAAAGTCACAGAAAAAAAAGTTACAACTTGGTTTTGCAAGTGACATGTTTGGTATACATGAACCCATTGTAGCAGATTTTGAACCCTGCTTATTACTGGCAATAATTTCCATGGTAGATGGCATAAAAGTTATTTTTCATTAAATCCAAGTATTGTTGATCCACAACAGCACTGAGATCTGAGATTTCCATTTTTTGAACTGTCTCCAGGGTTAGGAATCCTGACATACTATAGAGAGGAATGAGGTTATATCCTACTTAAAAAACTTTTACCGGATTAGATAACCTGTGGTCACAGTGACCTCAGCTGACTTACCCTAATCCTTCCAGGTTGATGTTACTTAAATTATACAAAGATCTAATGTTTTTGTCCTATTTTAAGCAAAACTCATTAATCTACCATCAGATCTGCATATTCCTTTAATGAGACTGAATGGCATATTAACCTTAAAATATGTGAGAATTCAATAGTTAGCCTTTCTATTAAAGAAAGATTCAGAAACAGTGCTAACATTGTTTTGTTTCTTTTTTTTCCTGGATTTAGTTTTTATGAGGTGTTGACACATTTATCGATAGCTTGATGTTTGGGAAATTAATGTAAAAAGAGGGGATAATGGACATAAAATTGCCTAATGAATACAACATAAACATCTTTTTGGTATAATTTTTTTTTTTAACTACCAAGTAATTTTAAAAATCTAAAATATTTTAAACATTCTAATATTTTATTGAATTTTATAGTCTTACAAAGATTCTTGTTGAGGAAATGTTAGAAAATTACCAATAAATTTTAAATTTACTATAATTACTGTTCTTATTTTCTGATAATACCATGTGTGGACGTCCATATTTACAAAATCAACACATATATACAGACATAAAATAAATTCAAAATTCTTTTTAAAATACTGGGGGTCTCATTCAATTGTAGTGCACTTTTTCATTTAAAATTAGCAAATACAGATTTAATTTAATAACAATATCACTTAATTGCTCACCCTGAGTATGGCAATAAACTACATCTGACAGCAAGGCCTCTGATTGGCAGATTTTGAGGAGTGTGGAACCACCTCTTAATTGTTGTTGTTCCCAGGTTCATCCTGATCTGGGGAAATAGTGAACCCCAAACTGGAGTCAAAACACTTAAAGTATAAAAATAGATTTTTTATAGTAAAAATACCAGCAATGCATTTTAAAAGAAGAAAAAATTATTAGCAGCAATACATTTGAGTCTCTACAAAAAACAAATATGTTAATGAAAACCTGT